GGTAGTCCATATTATTTTTTAGCTTCAGTATTGTTGGTGCAGTATATGTATATATGTATACAGGGCGAGCGCCAATTCCGGGGCGGCCCGCTCGAATTATTATTTTTTTCACCACTATCTATGTACAGCAGTCAGCACGAAATTATTTTTAATGTCTAATACTTTTTGTACAAGTCCTTTTCCCGTTTATCTTCAAATTTTTTTATTATTTTCAACAAACACTGGGCACTACATTTACACTTTGTACAAAGAATAATCACATTTAAGAGTTGCATATTTCTATGTCCATTGATGTCGTTGTGACACTAAGCGGAGAACCTGCAACAAAAATAACAGTCAGATATTACAAAAGGCACTAAATAAAAATGGTGGTTCATTTTTAATCTGTCAGAAGTTCAATCGGACAAATCACACTTTATTTTATAATTATCAAGTGTAATATACAATTGATTAACATTTAGATACAATAGCAATCTGGGTTAGCTGCCATTTCATCTTTGTCATGAACATTATTTCATCGTAATGTTATCTCTTTCTCGTAAACTGTGAGATGGAGATAGATGTCGCTGGTAATGTTCCAGCAGTGTTGCCGTTACATTTATTCAAATTTGTTTTTGACGGCAAACAATAATATTCTTATTTATACAAAAGTATTATTTGTATTGGGATTATAATTTCTTCGTAACCTTTTGTATATAATAAGAATATGTTTTAAGAAATACAGGGCGTTTTGCATAAGTGCAGAAGTACGTAACAAAACATGGATGATTTAATGCAACTTACCTCTAAGGAATTGCGGAGGCCCATCAGCCGATTTTTATATTTAATTTTTTTTATGCAAAATTTAATATTAAAACTATGTTTCATCCTGGACCTTGAAAGAAAGTATCGATAATAGAATAATTTTATAACTGGTAACGATACAATATATCGAAATATCAAAAGAAAAATATGGATACTGACATCGTATACGTAGTATGGCAACCAGGCTTGGGTCATTATCAAAATAAATAATCGATTATCGTTATTTAAAATCGATTATTTTCGAATAATTTCGATATATTCGATTATTTTCGATTATTTACGATTAGTTTTGATTATTTTCGATTATTTTCGATTATTTTCGATTATTTTCGATTATTTTCGATTATTTTCGATTATTTTCGACTATTTTCGATTAATTTCGATAATTTTCGATTATTTACGATTAATTTTGATTATTTTAGCTCATTTTCGATAATTTTCGATTATTTTCGATTATTTTCGATTATTTTCGATTATTTTTGATTATTTTCGATTATTTTCGATTATTTTCGATTATTTTCGATTATTTTCGATTATTTTCGAATATAGTCGATTATTTTCGATTATTTTTGATTATTTTCGATTATTTTCGATTATTTTCGATTATTTTCGATTATTTTCGATTATTTTCGATTATTTTCGATTATTTTCGATTATTTTCGATTATTTTCGATTATTTTCGAATATTTTCGATTATTTTCGATTATTTTCGATTATTTTAGATTATTTTAGATTATTTTCGATTATTTTCGATTATTTCATCGGGCACGGTGGTGTAGCGGTCTATCGCGCTTATATTCATTTATAGGCAAGTTTATGAGTCTGAGACTGCTGGGTTTCGAATCCCAGACCAGACCATGTGGATTTTTAATTAAATTGCATGGTTCGGTTTAGGATTTGATGTGTGGCGTATTAATAGAAATTCAATTTCTGTTGATATGACATGCAGATTAAAAAAATTCGCCATACATTACCGTCTCGATGATGGTGGGTGAGGTTTTCCGGGTTTTCCTCACCTGTAAGTCAAATGGCACCATCAATCATCTTTAAGTCGCCCCGGAGCGCCACGGCAAATAATAATAATAGCCGTCCCTTTCCCCGGACAAGCTCAGCTTTTGGGGTTAAAATTCACTCGTAAGGGGGTGAATTAGGGAGAGTATTATTATTATTTTAGATTATTTTCGATTATTTTCGATTATTTTCGATTAATATTTATTTTGATGTCCCCTATCGCCCCTAAAAAGTTTATTGGTGTTTTTACAAGATATATTTATTTTAGTGGTTCACGTATTTTCGATGGTATTCATATTTCACTTTTCCTACACATAATAGGCGTACATCACTGTTTACTACTTTTTGTAAAGAAGAATCACAGCAATAACAAATTAATTTGTTGGCCATTTCGTTTTTCGTCTTTCGTTTTGACGGTCTGTGATTTGTTTACACTCCTTTTTATCAATCTGTCATTTTTACAAATTTAACAAATTAATAATATTGTTGAAATTTAGACTCCAGTTGTATTTTTTATTAGATAAAAGCAAAAATAATCTGATTTGCACGATTGAACTTTTGACAGGTAATCACTGAGACGCCATTTTTTACCATATAGTATTTCAGGCTAGCAAGATCAAATGGTAACAATCCCCAGTCAAAAAGGATCCGTATAATATTAGGAATAAAAAAAAAATGTTTAAACATTTAAAAGTTCTCATTCAACGTAGTAATTAAAAAAAAACGGAAAACTGATAATTTTCCGAGAAAAATTAATGCAATATATCCATGTTTTCGACCTAATATCTTTTCATTTTCATACAGGTTTGCCAATAATTTCAGTTCATAAGTAATAAGATAAAATACGTGAATATTTTCATTGTAAATTTAAAAATAAATTAAACTAGTCTTTATTTGTAATATAATTACGAAAAATTGATTTGAAAAGTTCGTAAAATCGATTTTATCTTTAAAAATGGCCTACACCAATGAAATTATTAAAAAATCATAAGTGTTACATATGGTTGAACTAAAATTGAATAGGAGATTCCAATAATGACTGAATATACAGGGTGATGAATTTGAAAAACTAAAGTGACTAATAATATAAGAAAAACTGCAAATCTGGCAACATTGCAAATATCAAATCTGGTATCTCCGTATCCCAAAATTGATGTACCCCAAATTTTGTACAATTAGGACTAGCAATTTACGAGATAATTGGCCGTTTCCAGACTTTTGGGCCACTCTGTATACATTTTTTTCTACTTTTTAATTTTCTCCTAACTTTCACATTTAAAACTATTATATTAAAAATGTATAATGTACATGTTTTTATGCCATCAACTAATAACATTGCCCAGTTTGTTTCAATCTTTTTTTCATCACCATTTTTTTGCAAACATTTTTTTATTGACATTTTTTTGCCACATTATTTTCTATATGTTGGATAAAACTAGGTTGAAAAATTGGTTGTAGAAGCTGGGTTGTAAAATTAGATTGTAAAACTAGGTCATAAAACTAAATTTTTCACATAAAAATTTTGGAAAAAAAAAATTGATTTTCGAAATTAAATTTTAGCAAAATAATGGCAATATTTTAGATAATTTGTTTTTCGTCCACATTTTTTCCGACAATATTTTTTTTTATCAACATTTTATTTGTTAACTTTTTTTCATTAAGTCAATAAATGCTGGCGTCCCTCAGGGAAGTATTTTTGGGCCAGTATTATATTTATTATACATCTATGACATGTCGAAGATAGAAAATATAAAATTAGCCACATTCGCTGATGATACAGCAGTCTTAACCATAGGATATTATACAAATCTGGACTAAACAGTGGCGCATGAAAATTGACTTTACCAATGAAAGAATAGATTATAATATACCAATAAACTTAATTAACAATATTATACCAAATAAGAAAACGGCAAAATATCTTGATCTAAATTAAAACGGAAGCAGCATGAAAAATTGAAAATTAAACAGCTGAAGATTAAATAGAGTATATGGCACAAGTAACCTATAAAATAGCAATGCTTTCTACAAAATTTTAACCTATTTAAAGCAATTTTAGTAAAATAAAGATAAATCTGTTAGTATTTTGAAGAATTCTAGTAGAAATTTTAAATACATAATAAATTTAAATATATTTAGAGCAATTTTAGTAAAACTTAAATACATCTTACTAGTATTTTGAGTAAATATAAAATTTAAAGGATTTTCTAAAAGAATTTAGAAAATAGGCATAGGAATCTGGTTGAATTTAGAAAATATCTAGTAAAATTTAGAGAATATCTAGTAATTTAGAGAAAGTCTAGTAAAATTTAGAGGAAATCAAACAAATTTTCGCAAAACTTAGAATTCCACACTGTACGATGTAAAATTTACAGGGTTAGAATTTTAAAGAATTCTAGTAGTTTTAAGAGAAGGTTTAGTATTTCGAAGAATTTTAGTAGACATATTAAATACATTTAGATATATTTAAAGCAATTTTAGAAAAATTTAAATTCATTTTACTATAATTTTAAGTAAATATAAAATTGAGAGAATCACTAATATAATTTAAAGAATAAGTAACTGGTAGAATTTAGAGAATATTCATTTAGTAGAATTTAAAGAATATCTAGTAGAAGTTAGAGAATATCTAGTAGAATTTAGAAAATATCTAGTACAATTTAGAGAATATATAGTACAATTTGGAGAATATTTAGTAACTATAATTTAGAGAACACCGAATACAAAATGGAAAGATAGATTCTTTGATTCTTTATTTAACTACGTAACATACAGTGGTTTACAACAAGTGAGAAGTATTATTTGAAAATAGCACATTTTAAAACTTTCATGACTACATATAATAAAAAAGTACTTAACAAACTAATTAAAACAATGATAATAACTTAAAAAGAAATAGATAAAATAAGGTAGAACAAGGTAAAAATGACAATAAAAATGGAAGTTTTTGAAATAGTTATAATATTATTGAACAGAATAAAAAAGAGTTCCTCTTTTGACAGAATTTAAGTTTAAAGACAGTTTATTGACGGTTTACCTTATAGTCTACCAATTACAAAACAAAACAAATAAATCATAACAAACTAAAATAATGAGTCGTTTAAATTACAAAAAAGAGTTATTAAATTTATAAATAATGACGAGGTAATTGTTGTTTTTTTGGGTAATGGCAGTATGACCTTACCTCACAGATGGTGTCCGTAGTACTCTGGATAATGCGCGTACTGGTTGTGGAAAGCTGGATCGCCTGGCGGTCGATGCATCATTTGTTGCCCGTCCATCATATATCCCATCGTCCCATCTGGACTGTAAGCTCCGCTGGGTCCCGCGTGCGGCGAAAACACTACAAGAAAAACAAAGAAAAACAATATTAAACATGCGAAAAATACTTCATTGTTTGACAGAACGGCCTACAAGGCTTTCCCCCCCTTCCAGGCATCTTTCTGCTCCCCCTGAGGGGTTCCAGTAAGTTTAATCTAATCAGAACGTCCTGCCAGGTTTTCCCCCCTTTCAGACCACCCTCCGCTTCCACTGAAGAGTTGCAGTAGGCTTCCCCCAATCGTTCCAACCTCAGGCTCCAACCTGGCCTCGTCCTATTCACTCAACTCATTAATTATACCCATACAAGTACATTCTACCGTCTAAGATTTAATACAAACTTGTACAAGGGTTAAACTAATAAGCCATTAGGATGCAGTTATCGCAGCCTAAGTCAGACGAGCCTAGGAAAGAAAAAAAATAGCCCAAAGAAAACATATTTAAAATAGCAGCTGCACATTCCTGGATAGTAATTTTCCTGGGATTCAAAATAGAGTCAAAGAGGCTTATCAGACCCTGTCGGAACGGCTATAGAGAAAATTGAAGAAGGAAAATTTGTAGTGCCGGGACTCCCCCAAAGAGCGTGGAGCTGTCACTCGAGGCCCGATTGTGCGAAGCGGTTGATGGATCGGTCCACGAGGGTCAATGCCTGCCGCCATTTTTCTTCTTCTGTCTCCGGCAGCCCGAACAACACAGAGAGAATTTCGGAATCGATATGTGGAGCAGAGCAGAGAAAGAACATTCTAGCATCCCAGGCATCGACAGCCATTAATAATCTCGGGACGGTTGCTTTCGTTGAGATGTTAAAAAGAAAGGAATTCTGGATCGGACTCAGGGGGTTGGATTGGCCACCGTTTATTTACCGACTGGTTAGCTACTCTGAAAGAACGATTGACAGTTGACGTCTGACAGCAATGGAACTTAAATACTTAAGATTTAGATACATAAATCAATATTATTTTATCAAAAATAAATAGTTTTTACTTAAATTTTTGGAACCAATGATTTAAAAGTCTCATTAATATTTTCTCTCAAGATATGTAGCAGATATTTTTGGATTTTATTTACAAATCTAAAAAAGTTGAATCTACTTCTATACAAAATTCATGCATAATTATTACTTTTTTTAATAGCAAAATTGAAGGTAAACTTACTAAAATTAATTTAAAAATTCAAAAATATTTACCTTTGACGACGTCTGCAATATCTGAAAATATATCTCAATTGAATAAATTTATTAATGAAACATTTTTATCAAAAATAATTTAATTTTTTTAAATAAACAATTACTATTATTGTTGCAAAGTTATTTATATCGATTAAAATTTGTTTTTACATTTTACTACCTTTTTAAAACGAAATATAGCAAAAACGATCATTAGGTACCATAATTAAAAAAAATTGATGAATTAAAATATTTCTTCGCTAATAAAACGATAAAAGTATTTGAAGAAATTTTGGTAGAATTGGAAGGAATTTAAATAAGTTTTAAAGAAATTTTGGTAAAATTTTAACCTATTTAAAGCAATTTTAGTAAAATAAAGATAAATCTGTTAGTATTTTGAAGAATTCTAGTAGGAATTTTAAATACATAATAAATTTAAATATATTTAGAGCAATTTTAGTAAAACTTAAATACATCTTACTAGTATTTTGAGTAAATATAAAATTTAAAGGATTTTCTAAAAGAATTTAGAAAATAGGGATAGGAATCTGGTTGAATTTAGAAAATATCTAGTAAATTTAGAGACTATCTAGTAGAATTTAGAGAAAGTCTAGTACAATTTAGAGAATATATAGTACAATTTGGGGAATATTTAGTAACTATAATTTAGAGAACACCGAATACAATTTAAAGAACACCTAATACAATTTAGAACAATTTGAGTAAAATATAGATGCATTTTAGAAGTAAAAAATATTCTAGAAATATAATTTAGTTGACTACAGGCAAGAAGTTAGAGAATATCTAGTACAATTTAGAGAATATTTAGTAACTACAATTTAGAGAACACCAAGTACAATTTAGAAAAAATTTAGTAAAACATAGATGCATTTTGGAAGTAAGAGATATTCCAGAAGTATAATTTAGTTGACTACAGGCAACAAGTTAGAGAATATCTAGTAGAATTTAGAGAATATCTAGTACAATTTAGAGAATATATAGTATAATTTGGAGAACATGTAGTAACGACAATTTAGAGAATACCGAATACAATTTAGAACAATTTTAGTAAAATAAAGATGCATTTTAGAAGTAAAAGATATTCTAGAAGTATAATTTAGTTGACTACAAGCAAAGTTTTCGAAGTTTTTAATGGAGTTTTTATAAAATTGTGAGTTTTCGTAAAATAAAGTGGCTTGTGTTTTTGAGGAAAGTTCCTCAATGAAATTTTTGTGCGATGTAGAATATAGAGGAAACTCGTGAGAATTTTGATAAATACTAGTTGTCTTTAAAGAAAGTCTAATATTGTTTCAAAAAACGAATTTAGATATATTTAAAATAATTTTAGTAACATTTTACTATACTTTTGAGAAATTATAAAATTTAGAAAATATTTAATAGAATTTAGAGAATAGGTATAAATAGTAGAATTTGGAGAATGGATATTTAGTAGAATTTTGAAAATATCTTGTAAAATTACAAGAATATCCAGTAAAATTACGAGAATATCTAGTAAAATAAAGAGAATAGTAAAATTTAGAGAATGTTTAGTAAAATTACGAAAATATTTTGTAAAATTAAGAGAAATTCCAATGTTTTCAATTAGAATTTAAAGAAAAACAAGAAAATTTTCATTGAACTTAGACTTCCACAGTGTAGTTTTTTAGATAAAGTGTAATAGTGTTCTTTGAAGAATTCTAGTAGAAATTTTAAATATATTTAAATAGATTTACACATATTTAAAGCAATTTTAGAAAAATTTAAATCAATTTACTATAATTTTGAAAAATTATTAAATTTAGAGAATTTTTATTAAAATTTGGAAAATATGTATGATGAAGTAGATTTTAGTATATCTAGTACAATATAAAGAATATATAGTACAATTTTAAGAATATTTAGTAAAATTTAGAGAATATTTAATACAATTTAGGGAAATTCTAGTCAAATGGACGTAGTCTACAAGTTAGAAAATTTAGATGAATACTAGTGAAATTCTCATAGTTTTTAATGGAGATTCAATAGAATTCTAATAGACACTTGAGGAAAAATAAGAAATGTGACAGAATTTAAAGATTTTTGAGAAACATTTATAAAAATTTTAAGAATTCAAGGAAATTTTCGTACATCTTAGGATTCTATACTGTCTTGAAGAATTCTAATACACATACAATTAAACGAATTTAAATATTCTTATTAAAGCAATTTTAGGAAAATTTAAATGAATATACTATGATTTTAAGTTATTTTTAATAGAATTTAGAGAATATATATCCCATTCGAATTTAGAGAATATATAATAAAATTTAAAGAATATCTAGTAAAAATTAAAGAATATATAGTAGAATTTAAAGAATGTCTAGTACAATTTAGAGAATATCTAGTAAAATTCTAGCAGCATAATCTGTCGTAGTTTGTAATGGAGGTTCAATAGATTTTCTAGTTTTCGTACAATAGTGGATTGTGGGAAACGAAGAAATTAGCTAAATATTAGAGAACCTAAAAAATGTTCTTAGCCTAAAATATATTTTATTTTTATGCGTAGAACTTCAGAGATCTAATATCGTTTTGAAAAATCCTATTTAAACGATTTTAGATATAGAATTTAAAGCAATTTTAGTAAAATTTAAATGAATTTACTATAATTTGGAATAATTATTAAATTTAGAGAATTTTTAATAGAGTTTAGAAAATGGGGAATAGTTATTATCTAGTAGACTTTGGAAGTAGACAGCCATTAGACTTTAGGGAATATATAGTAAAACTTATCTAGTATAATTTAGAGAATGAATATCTAGTATAATTTAAAGAATATCTAGTACAATTTAGAGAAATTTTAGTAAAATTCAGATGCATAGAAGTAAGTTAAATAATATTAAAATTTTTGTAAGTTTTAATAGAGATACTTAAGGAAAAAGAAGAAATTTGCTAGATTCAAAAGAAAGTTTAGTGTATTTGAAAGACCTTTATAGAATTTAGTCAAATTCGAGGACATTTTCGTATAACTGTACGATGTCTAAACATTTATCCTGTTCATTGTAACAATTTCCAAGAGACATTCGGCTGTCGCTGCAACAATAATGGCGGCTACGCCTCTGCCTTCTCTGCACCAGCACGGCTGGCGAAATAAACGAAAAGAAAAAAGATAACTGATCATAGCGCCGGTACAAGACTTTCCACTTACAAGTCATATAGGTGGATATATATCGGGGCGATACTGGCCACTCGAAGCCGATCCCTCGGACCCATATCTCAATAAAAATGCATGACAACGTTAGGCTTTAAAGGAAATCACGATTCATTAAAAAAATTGTGATAACGCTACGAGGCTGGATTAGATCCCATGCACCCAGACCTGCTGGGTGGTACTGGTACGGGTACCGTATGCTGTATGGTAGGTACCCACGATAAGAAATTGAAAGTAAATTATACGAAAATTCTCGAAAAGAATGATTGTTAATTATTCTGGATCTTTTTTAACATAAAATTAAAAATTGGCTGTCAGATGTCAACTGTCAGGATTTTTATTTTGTTGTCATAGTTTTTAGTGATACATTGTTGTAAATAATTATTCTAAAAAATTAGGATCCTCTGTAAGGAACAATAATTAAAGTATATACAAGATGAGTCACATAATTTATATATATGTATATTATATTAAAAATTATCAACCAATATTTCCAATAATCATTTTTTTTTAGATTATACTCAAACAATTCGTGAGTTATCATGGAATTACACAGATATTTTTAGGCATTACGGGTTATTTTTATTAATTTAATGAACATATCAGCTGCTGTAGATGTGGAGGTCCATAAAATGTGGTATGAAAACTTGGTAATTAAAAATATTTAAAGTGACCATATTTTGCAAAGTACAAATCGAAAACATGGAGATTTTTTGACGAATTCAATTTGCAGTAGTGTCGGTTTGGTTTATTTGAGAGCCAGAAAGCCAGAGCTATCATTTATATTGAATTGAAGACTTTCTTTCAAAAACAACACATGTCTAAAAATGCTCGAATTGAGTTAAATGTGACAGTTAGTGGCCAGGTGTTGTATTTATCGGCACAAATGTTGATTTTCTACAAAAGTTACACAGAAACAGATATATCTACTGTCAAATATAGAGCATTTCTGCAAAGTCTTATGAGACAGATATAATGTTTTTTGTTTTTGCCGAAAAACGTTGGTTTTGGACACGTGTCGTTTTTGTAAAAAAGGAGGACAGGTAGAGAAACTTTTCGAGAAAGGACATAACCTACAAAAGAACGACTAAAGAAACATGTGATGCGTGAAAAAGATGATAAATTTAATTGGAAGTTGATATGTAGAAACTAGTAGTGAGGGAAGAAGTTTCTAGTAGTAGGTTAGGAGAAGTGACAAATATAAGTGCTTAAGAGTTATGCTCCTCTGAGAAGAGGGTATCAGAAATAGTGGATATGGCTGATAGGTGGGTTTGCTAACTGAAATGTTTGTTTATGATGTATGGAAGGGAGGGAGCACTTGCATACAGAGGAGTAGATAACATCACATCCAGATGGATGGCTCAGTTGTTATCTACGAGAAGTGCAGAGACACAGATAGCGCAGGACACCATCTCCATCTGCACAACCAGAGGATGTTCACAAGGAGGAGTTCTATCCCCACTAATGTGGAGCCTAATAGTAGACGAACTTTTATGCAGATTGACTGACTTCGGCATACCCTGTCAAGCTTATGCCGACGATGTAGTCATATTTGGAAAGTTTGGAAATATCTTGTGTGATATAGTCCAACGAGGACTAGAACATACTAAAAGATGGTGCCGTGAAGTGGGACTAGACAGTTAAAAAAATCCCATTATTGCTCAAAAGATAAAAAATCTCTAGAGTTAATAAAAATTAAAAAAAAATGGTCTGAGAGCTGTAAATTACTCGAGAGTTAAGAAGTCCTAAAAATTGCTCGAGAGTTAATGAACAGTTAAAAATTGCTCTGTGAGCTGTGAATTACTCAAGAGTTGAATTTATTTATTTAGCAATAAAAAAAAAGTTAGGTTATAGGTTAAAATTACTTAGTTCAAGAGTTAAGATGTCCTAAAAATTGTTCCAGCCTTAATTAACAGTTAAAAATTACTGAGCTGTTAAATGATATGGTTAAAATTATTTTATTCGAGAGTTAAGTCCTAGAAATTGCTCAGAAATTAAAAATTCTGGAGAGTTAATGAACACTTAAAAATTGCTCTGTGAACTGTGAATTACTCGTTAAGAAAGCTCTAAATATTGCTAGAGTTAAAAATTTTACTCGAGAGTTAAACATTTTACTCGAGAGAAAGACATGCTATTCAGTGGTATACGAACGGTTCCAAAACCATACAAGGAACTGGAATAGGAGTGTATGAGCCGAGAACCAAGCACTCCGAAAGCTTGGGAAAATACCCAAGCATCTTCCAGGTGGAAATTCACGCCATCGAGAAGTGTATCCAGTTTAACATCGAGAAAAACTATTATAGACAAGAGATTACCATCATTTCCGATAGCCAAGCTGTCATCAAAACGCTAAGGTCTTACGTAATCAGCTCAAAAATAGTTTGGAGATGCCTAGAACAATTGAATGAGCTAGGCGAGAAAAACAGAGTTACTCTTACTTAAATCCCGGGACATAACAGGGTACAAGGTAACGAAATTGCAGATAGTCTTGCAAGGAAAGGGACCCAAACACCCTTTGTAGGACCTGGGCTGTTCTACATAATATTAGGTGAAATTAAAAAAGAATTGGGCAGTAGAAGAACCGATAACTGGAACAATCTCTTGGGCTGAGACAGATACCTCTGGGTGAATATAACCAGAAAAGATCGGAAGCCTGCATCTGCCTGAGCAAGAACATGCTACGTATTGTAACAGGGATCCTGATTGGGCATTGCCGACTAAAAGGACACCTCAGTAAACTGAGAGTAGTAGAGGATAGTGAGTGCAGATTCTGTGAGGAGGGGGACGAAACCTCCATTCAGACTCCTACTAAATGTGTAGCACTCCAGAATCCAATGGCACTATACCTAGGAGGATATCAAATAGAAGAGGGAGATTTACCTAACTTGAAGCCACTTCAAATCCTACACTTCCTTGAAAAGATAGGATTGGAAGGGTCGTTATAGGCATTGAGACATTTCCTTTAGTGCATTAGCGACAGAAGGAGACACAATAGACCTTTTAGGTCGCAGTGTATTAACACCCCCTTCCCAACCTAACATAACATAGAAGAGAGGGTCTTCCCAAGAAAACTGTTGAAAAATGTAATAAATGATAGTGTGGTTGGAACAGGTGACAAGATATAATCCCAAAGTTGTAGTGTAATGATTTATCACCATAAAGAACATGTATCTCTTGCGGTAGGCACATGGCTGCAAAAAAATGACGTGTGAAACAGAGAGGATGCTAAAAACAATAGAATCCTATTGTTTATCTGCAGCAACTTCATTACTAATTCAGACTGGAGGATCATATCTTCAGAAGGTGATCCAGTATCGATAACTGCAATATTTTTTCTACTACTTTCCCAGTATATATAAGGAAAAATAAAAAACCATTCTCATTTCATTATGTTCATTCAATTTTGATTTAACATACAATAATACTGGTAACACAATCAAAATAAGTATAAGTAAATATTAAAAATTAGTGAAAAGGTGTTGCAGTTGATTTTTGTTTAAATCAGAATTGTATAGTGTATTATCTGTGGTAAGTATAAAACTTTTATTTCATTCATTTGATCATTTGATCCTATTCCTGTTTAACATTTTAGAGAAAAATGTCTTCTATAAAAGCTCCTAATTGGATTTATGAATGAATGAAATGTTCTCTTCCTGCAATTCAAGATTACTTTCTATATTGAAATTCTTGATCACACGAATTTCATAATATTTCTAATGATGATCTTATAAACGCCTGCATGGACTTAGATATTAAGGTACAGGTACAGGAGGAAAGAAGTAATAATAATAATATTAATAATAATGCTCTCCTTAACTCACCCCCTTACGAGTGAATTTCAACCCCTAAAGTCGACTGAACGACTTGTGTAGGGGAAGGGACGGCTATTATTATTATTTGCCGTGGCGCTCCGGGGCGACTTAAAGATGATTGATGGTGCCATTTGACTTACAGGTGAGGAAAACCCGGAAAACCTCACCCACCATCAAGTATTGTTAAAGATATAGATGGTATACAAGCACTAAGAGTTAAAAAAAATGGTGTACTTGATTTTGAGTTAACTTATTTCTTTGAATAACGTTCAAACATTTGAAAACTAGGATTTTGAGAGTTTTCGGGTAAGATATTAAAAAATCGGTTTATTGGATGTTTCCATATAAATATATCCCTATTTGTGACTCATCCTGTATAAAGTAAATAAAGAATATAAATTTCTTACCTGCTCGATTCGACTGGTCTATCATCGGTTGCACGATCCGCCGTCGCGCGTTGATGAACCTGAAACAAAAACGAATCGTGTGAGTTCACGTGTTTTGCTCTGATGTAGCGATCGAAAAGTGTCAACGTTCGTCAATTGTTCGCGACGCCTAATGCGTCGTGACGCCGGAAGCGATTGGAAACGCCGACGAATGATTGGTTGTCTCTACTAACTCGGCATCGACATCGCCCGACGGGTGTGTTTCGATTGTTTCTCTATTCCAATGCGGGTTATCGAGAACGGGCTTAAATTTTACTGATTTTGAAAAAATTACGGAGAATATTTGATAAAAAATGACCATCTTTAAATTTTACCCACGTGTAAATTGTTATTATTTAAATTTAATAATTAATTTGTATATTTACGGAGAGTAGTTTTAGTTGGCTTTTTTACGATACTACTGCGCACATATTTGTCAATTGTCATATCACCTGTCAAGTACGTCATTTGCCAACTCATCCAGTGGTAACAATTCACAAAATATGTCATGCCATATATCTAGTAATGGGCATAATCGAATTATTCTTACAATCGATTGATTTCAATAATCGAATGATTTATCGATCGGATACTAGGAGATCTAAATTTTTATGTTAATATCTATCAATATAATGTACTTATTTTTATGTTTTCTTTTTAGTTGTTGTTGTTTTTTTGTAAAAAAAAAACTTTGCTGGTCTGGGAACATTTTAGTGAAAAAGAAAACAGTGTAATACTTGTAAAAGCAATTCTAGTAATACTACCACTCAAAATCAACATTTATTAAAATATATATAAGTATTTTTCAAGGATTTTAAAAGTTTTTTAAAGGTTTTTAAAGGGTTTTTAAAGGGTTTTTAAAGGGTTTTTAAAGGGTTTTTAAAGATGTTTAAAGACTTTTAGGGATTTTTAAGGATTTCAAAGGATTTCAAAGGATTTCAAAGGATTTCAAAGGATTTCAAAGAATTTCTACGGATTTCTAAGGATTTCTAAGGATTTCTACGGATTTCTAAGGATTTCTAAGGATTTCTAAGGATTTCTAAGGATTTCTTAGGATTTCTAAGGATTTTTAAAGGTTTTTAAAGGGTTTTTAGATATGTTTAAAGACTTTTAGGGATTTTTAAGGATTTCAAAGGATTTCTAAGAATTTCTACGGATTTCTAAGGATTTCTAAGGATTTCTAAGGATTTTTGAAGATATTTGAGGAGTTTATAGAATTTTAAGGATTTTTCAAGACAATTAAGGAATTTTAAGAATTTTTAATGATTTCTAAAGACTTTTAAGTATTTTTAAAGATTTTTAAAGATTTTACTTCATCTGTATTAATTACATATGTGAGTTTTACATGTTTACATGAACGCATGTCGTTGAAAAGTTGAGGTTACATACAAATTTTTTAGTTCTTTACATCATAACTTCACTACTAAATATTGATGCAGTAGGAACAGCTAAATCAAATACCTATCAAGATTTATCAGTCTTATGCGAGGTATATATCTTGTATTTTTACAAAACATTCTGTATATATCCACTGTTTGTCTAAATGCAATATTATGATTCCCCTAAGACCCACATCATTTCCTTTAGCAGAGTGGTCGGATGGGGTGGAAATCCCACAAAATTCTTCGTAATTTTATTTATGTTAGATGTGTCAGGAGGATAATATGATGGAGACTTAGAGATAGTGGCTGAAATAATCAAATATGAGCGTGAATTGGAAAGAATTCTGTAATTGCTTCTTTACTAGTAATTATTATATTTACTTACGTGAGAATTTACAAAAATTTATTAAATATCCTTAGGATATTCATTATAATACCAGAATTATGTACGTGGTCTTAACTATGTTAACGAATTTGAAATAATTTAAAAGATTTTTAAGAATTTTTAAGGATTTTTAAGGAATTGTAAGAATTTTTAAGGATTTTTAAGGATTTTTTAAAAGATTTTTAAGGATTTTAAATTTTTTTTAGAGATTTTAAAAGTATTTAAGGGGTTTAAAGTGTGTTTATAAGGGGTTTTTAAAGGTTTTTAAGGGTTTTAATGATTTCAAAAATTTTACCATGAAAGTAAACTCCTGGCATATCCCAGTCCCAATTATTTAATTTTTGATTAATATTAAGATAATCAGCATCAGAAGAAATTTATAATAAAATACGGATCATTAGTTTAGAAAAGTTGAAATTTACAGTCTATGCAAACAAAGTTTAATGCACGTCACTAATGTCGTCATATTTGCCAAGCATTGTGCCCAACTTTTAAAAATAAACACATACAATAGATTAGGTTTAATACCTACAGAATTTAATATTAACAAGGGATGATAGAAAAGGTTTAAAAGCAGAATTAATTCATCTAAGAAAAATATACATCAAACTTTGTTTTGCACAACCTATAGAGCCTCTATAATAATAGATGGATGGTGATTATCCTCATGAATAAATGTAAGACTGTATCTATCAACTGTTAGGTCAAAATTTGGCGATATTACTGTCAATTTTTATTGAGCGTATTCTTAATGTTAAAAAATTGTTTAAGATTTTAAAATGCAAAGCTGTCAACAGCAGACATTATGATGTTTCTTTAAACAGATATAACTGCGACAGAAAGACTGCCTTGTAGTAATCGCTGCTTCACATGGTCCTTCGAGCTGTCAATTAATGATAATCTTCATAAAAATGGCATAGCATGGATGCGAAACTGTTCCTCCTATCGAAGGCGGCATTAAGGTAGGTCGCATTCGCCACAGCCACCGAGTACTGGCTGCCTGGCGGCGGCGTGTAGCAGCAGCAGTAGCGAAGAAGCTTTTCCGTAACAGGACGGGATTGATTAATCGTCGTAATTACCGATCAGCTTTCGGCGCTAATTAGATTTTCGCTCCCCGCCATGGCCCGGAGGCGGCGGGCGGGGGGCGGCGGCGGCACACAGCGCAAATGAGATTACGGCTGAAAATGGCGTTTCGCCGCAACGCGCGGGGGCGGGCAGGGACGCACGCGTTAATTGTCATCGATTTTTATGTAATGCCATTATGTCTGTACACAATTTATCACGTTACAAGACCGGATTGCAGGCCTGGGAATCCATTAGGGGCGACGAGATGGGCCCATTTGCAGAGCCTGTTCCTGCGTTATAACCCTTGAACTTAAGCATTTTATAATATTCATCGATGACGTCCAATATTCGTCAAAAATGTTCTTTTATGTAACAATAATTCTCACAAAATTTATCTGGTTATCAGAGGATTAAGTCTCTTATCAGTTGTAACATTTTAAAATTCCATTTAAAAATGTTATTTTAATTGTGTGACATCCTATATAAATTAGTATCAGATTGATTTACCATTTAATTATCGGCGCTAGCAATATGCTTAGAGAGGGAAATTTCTCTAGGTGGGGATCTGGCTGGCTCCCAATTTTAAATTCTTTTCATTAAAATTCATTTCTCATCTGATAACTTGAACTAAAAGTTGAGTGCTTAGACTGCAAAATATAGTTTTGGGAGACCCAGCTTTGGCCATGCCTGTAGTTACCCACGCAGAGAGCAATTTGTCTAAGTATGTATTCAAGAATGCGTATTTTAAATTCAGCATGACTCTAATTCTTAATTGAAGTAAAATATTCTTTATTTGAATCCTCGCATTCTTAAATTAACACTGGCGTGTTCAATTTTTGAATCAAAAGCTATAAATAAGCATCAACGTTGTTAATTTCAAAAAAAGTCAACGATTTTTTAGAGTGGTTACTTAAAAATGTCTTAATTAAAAATTGTGGCATGCTTGACTCAAAAACAAGTCCAAAAATGCTTATTTTTTGCTTCGGCTATTCATTGGCTAGCTAGAATTGGGCCGAAAATGGGAGACCCAGCTTTGGCCATGCCTGTAGTTCCCCATCCTTGGTCCAGGACTGGATAACCGAGCCTTGGCCTGACCTGTGATTTACAAGCTTTGGAGCAAGACTGGGATTCTTTGATTCTTAGCTGTGGTAATTTAGCGTTACAGTGTATATAGTTTAGCCAATGATGCAGAACTTTGTATTGAGAATAATTGTTTTTTTGAAAAAACAAAAATTTCTCATGTACATAAAACTTTTTGGAACTCACTAGGTGTACAACGGATTGCGACGTGCTCGAAGAGCACGTCGTTGACCACAATGTGTATTCAGACATAGTTGTTAACGATATTATACAGTGTCTCTCAAAAAGCTTTATAAGTATACATGAGAAATGGTATTTTGTTTTTTTTTTTCAAAATTTCATTGAAAAATTAAAAAAGGTTTAAAATCCAACAATTTTTTAAATTGCAATAAACAACAACAAAACTGGCAAAACTCTCTATTTATTTACTTCTATTGAAAATTATTTACAAAAGGTTTTTAATATATTTTACGTGTATGGTTAGCTTTACCCAGATTTTCTATATACTACTTTAGTAAGTAGTGTATGTTAAACCTGTGTTATAGATTTACAAGTAAATTTATTTTAAACAGTCTTAACCTCACTTCTTCCTTTTTTTGGGCTATATCCTACAAGATAGTTTACCCAGCCAACAACGAGAAGAGTATCCTTGTCTTGTGTCTACCAAATTTAAACAAGGAATTAGTGTATATCTTAGATACCAAATTAGATATATATTTTTTTGTAAAATCCGTTTTAATCACAGTTTTTATTAAGAACACATTTCAAAACACGAACAGTTAAAGCTAACCACACACTATTCAAATAATTAAATTGATTGACTGATTAATAATATTCGTATCAATCAAAATAAACTAATTGCGAAAAAAATCGCTGGAAAAGGGGGATTTTTCAATAAGAACCCCACGAGCGATCGCTTTTACAAACCGTCGCGTAAGTGCTGACCCCTGTCGGGTAATTACGTCGTTAGCAAATCGTCGGGGGCGGCATCTGGCGGGTGGTTTGGTGACCCTCGACCCTCGGACTACATCGGCAGCGGCGTCAGCTTGCGCTTAAGGGTCTCACGTTCCCTCATTCGAGTGTCGGAGAGATATTAAAGTTGAAATTTATCGTTGCCCCCATCTATAAA